GCATTCATGTACTGGCTACCTGGTAAGGCTGGCAGTACCGATGGTCCTTTTCTGGGTCACATATTCTGAGTTTGGCATGGCATGGCATGAGGCGTGATAGATGGCCCCTGGGCCATGCTATGGAGTAATCCCTTGAAATGGCAGGCGTGGCATATTATGGTAGGTCATACCATGAGCTTTGCCTGCCTGGAGTTCAGGGCTCTCTGCCAGCTTGATGGAGAGGGAAGGAAACTGGGAATTCTTTTCATGCAAGGTATTTTATACTATTCTATTGACTAACAGCTGAATAACGTTTTTGCAGCTTGAGACAGGATATCATTGATTTGGCGAAGCCAGACCTTCAAACTACCCACAAATTGACTATCACTTCACGCATGGAACGAGTTTACGAATGTTTGCTTCCTTCGTTGAAGTAGTAGATTCAGCCATTTCTAATCACACGGTTACATCCCCCAGTATTCGCATCATATGTTTAATGAAAAATTGATGCGGATGTTTTTGCTCATAGTTCAAAACTTTAATAGAATTGTTTTTGGTCAGATTACTTGTTTGGGGACTAATCACATTTTTGTATCAGGTCATTGATTTACAAAATATATACTCTGTATAGAAAATTTTAAAAAAAAATACTGTTTGTATTACCTCCCCGTCTATAAGAATAAGACCATTATTGTTACTTAGATGGTCTGATCCTATGATTTGGTTTTTTTCAATTGAGGCTGATATTTCAGGCTTATTCCCTCTGGATTGTAACATTTACCCGTTACAAATTATGAAAGTCATTTTTCCAGATATTTCAAATATGGAAAGTCTGCAGTGATTGAGGCTCTTTAACAATGGTCCATGAGGCCGCATTCGGTGAGTAGTTCTGGGCAGCAAATAGCAATTAACTATTATAATGATCACATTCACAGGGTTAAATCATCGAATCATACGGGAAAAGAAAAAAGAAAGAAGAAAAAACCATGAGCCATGGTGTGATAGAAATTAGTTATGTAGATGTCAACTATTTTCTCTGTTTTTTTTAGTTGCAATACTTTTTTCACTTTTTTCTAGGCAATTTTTGAAAAAATAAAGAAAAAACCTTGAGAAAAAATACTTCGTAAGGTATTTGCAACAAGAGAACCTTTACCAATTTTAGGATGAAATCATGTGCTTTTCCTTTAAATTACCGTAATCAATTGGGAAACTCCAAGTACACCCACACCCAAAATATAAAAAAAGAACCAACATCACTATATAGCCTTCGAACCTTGTGAAGTTGTGATTAGCACATCATTTAGCATTAAATATACACTTCAATTACATCATAATACACACCCTAACTTATGGTCAATTTATTTTGCGTTAAATTGCCTCCAAAATTTCTCAAAAATCGTGGATATAAGCCTTCAATTTTTGAATTTTTTGACTTTTTTTCACCCGACAATAAAAATTGCCGAAATGTTTACCATGGTCCCTAATAGCCTCCGAGAGTCCAATTGGCTGGGTGGAACCATCCAATTTGCCTTTAAACGACCAATTTACTAGTTTACAACTTGCACCAATTTCATTAATTCAAGCTTACCACGAACATTTATGACAACATATAATGATCATATGGATCCAAACGGCATTATATGACCCCAAGATGTATCCCCTAAACTTTCAATGCTTTTTGACACCGGGCTCCAAAACATTCGAAATTTCTCAAAAAGCGTGGATATTAGCCTTCAATTTTGGAATTTTTTTACTTCTTTTCGCCCAGATATAAAAATTGCCGAAATGTTTACCATGGCCCCTAATATCCTCCGGGAGTCCAATTAGGTGGGTGGAACCATCCAATTTGCCTTTAAACGACCAATTTACCGATTTACAACTTACACCGATTTCATTAATTCAATCTTACCACGAACATTTATGACACCAAATAATAATCAGATATGGTTCCAAACGACATTATATGACCCGAAATGTATCCCCTAAAATCTAAAGACTTTTTGACATTGGGCCCGAAACCTCTAAAATTTTTCAAAAAGCGTGGATATTAGCCTTCAATTTTGGAATTTTTTTTACTTTTCTTCGCCTGGAAATAAAAATTACCGAAATGTTTACCATTGTCCCTAATACCCTCCAGGAGTCCAATTGGGTGGGTGGAACCATCCTATTTGCCTTTAAACGACCAATTTACCTGTTTACAACTTACACAAATTAAATAAACTCAGGCCTACTACAAACATTTATGATAACATATAATGATCATATATGCTTCCAAACGACATTATATGACCCCGAGATGTATCCCCTAAAATCTAAGAACTTTTCGACTTAAGGCCCCGAAACCTCCAAAATTTCTCAAAAAGCGTGGATATTAGCCTTCAATTTTGGAATTTTTATACTTTTTTTCGTCGGAAATAAAAATTGCCGAAATATTTACAATGGTTTCTAATAACCTCCGGGAGTCCAATTGGGTGGGTGGAACCAACCAATTTGCCTTTAAACGACCAATTTATCGGTTTACAACCTGCACCGATTTCATTAACTCAAGCCTACCACGAACATTTATGACAACATATAATGATCATTATGGTTCCAAACGGCATTATATGACCCCGAGATGTATCCCCTAAAATCTCATTACATTTCGACACCAGCCTCTAAACCTTCGAAATTTCTCAAAAAGCATGGATATTAGCCTTCAATTTTGGAATTTTTGTTTTACTTTTTTCTCCTAAAGATAAAAATTGCTGAAATGGTTATCATGGTCCCTAATACCCTCTGGAAAACCAATTGGTTGGGTGGAACCATCCAATTTGTCTTTAAACGGCCAATTTACCGATTTACAAATTGCACTGATTTCATTAATTCAAGCCTACCACGAACATTTATGACAACATATAATGATCATATATGGTTTCAAACGGCATTATATGACCCTGAGATGTATCCCCTAAGATCTCAAGGATTTTCGACACCGGGCTGGAAACCTCCAAAATTTCTCAAAAAGCGTGGATATTAGCCTTCAATTTTGGAATTTTTTGACTTTTTTTCGCCCGGAAAGAAATGTTTAGCATGGTCCCTAATACTCTTTGCGCGTCCAAATGGGTGGGTGAATTATCCAATTCGCCTTTAAATGGCCAATTTACCGGTTTATAACTTGCACTGATTTCATTAACTCAAGCCTACCACGAACATTTATGACAACATATAATGATCATATTTGGTTCTAAATGGAATTATATGACCTCGAGATGTATTCCCTAGAATTTCAATAATTTTCGACACTGGGCCCCGAAACCTCCAAAAATTCGCAAAATGCGTGGATATGACTTCAATTTTGGAATTTTTTGACTTTTATTCGCCAGAAAATAAAAATTGCCGTAATTTTATACCATGGTCCCTAATACCCTCCGGGAGTACAATTGGGTTGGTGGAACCATCCAATTTGCCTTTAAACAACTGATTTATCGGTTTAAAACTTGCACCAATTTCATTAACTCAAACCTAACACGTATATTTATAACAACAAATAATGATCATATATGGTTCCAAACGACATTATATGACCCCAAGATGTATTCCCCAAAATTTCAAGACTTTTCGACACCGGACCCCGAAACCTCTAAAATTTTTCAAAAAACGTGGAAATTAGACTTCAATTTTGGAATTTTTTTAACTTTTTTTCGTCCGAAAATAAAAATTGCCAAAATGTTTACCATGGTCCCTAATACCTTCCGGGAATCCAATTGGGTGGGTAGAACCAACAAATTTGCCTTTAAACGGCCAATATACCAATTTACAACTTGCACCAATTTCATTAACTCAAGCCTACCACGAAAATTTATGACAACATGTAATGATCATATATGGTTCCTAACGGCATTATATGACCCCGAGATGTATTCCCTAAAATCTCAAGGTTTTTCGACATCGTACCCAACCTCAAAAATTTATCAAAAAGCGTGGATATAAGCCTTCAATTTTGGAATTTTTTGACTTTTTTTTCACCCGGAAATAAAAATTGCCAAAATTTTTACCATGGTCCCTTATACCCTCTGGGAGTCCAATTGGGTGGGTATATCCATCCAATTTGACTTAAACGGCCAATTTACAACTTGTACCGATTTCATTAATTCAAATCTACCACGAACATTTATGACAACAAATAATAATCATATATGGTTTCAAACGACATTATATGACCCCGAGATGTATCCCATAGAATTTCAAGACTTTTCGACACCGGGCTCCGAAACCTCCAAAATTTCTCCAAAAACGTGGATATTATCCTTCAATTTTGGAATTTTTTGCCGGAAATAAAAATTACTATATATATTATAGTCAAAGGAAATAATTAGCTTGATAAAAATGATAATTATCTATTTATAGTTAGTTGGACCCGAATATGACCTGACTTGGAAATGACCCGACCTGATTGTAACTTGCAAATTATTGACTTGAACATAACCCGACTTGAATCCAAGAATGACCCAACTTGAAAATGACCCAACCTGATTATAGCCCACTTATTATTGACTTGAACCCAAGAATGACCCGACTTGAAAATGATCCGACTTGAAAATGACCCGACCTGATTATAATCCACAAATTATTGACTTGAACCGAACCCGACTCAAACCCGAGAATGACCCGATCTGATTCTAACCCGCAAATTATTGACTTAAACCGAACCCGATTCGAAGCCGAGAAATACCCTAACCCGTTTTAACCCTTGAAAACCCGAATTAAACCCTACATATTGTTCACTCGACCCGAGTGTAACCCGACCTGTTATTAACCCGACCCAAACCCGATAAGAAGTATGACCCGACGTTACCCGACTCAAGTATGACTCAACCCAAACCCGATCCGCATAAGTTATGAAATTAATTCGAATTGATCCGACCCGAGTTGATCCAACCCATTCTTACCCGATCCGAGTACCCAAATTGACAGCTCTAGTTAAATATAAGGTACTATTACATCATAATATACACCATAACTTAATTGGTTAAAGTATTGCATCCGGAAAACATATGCTAGTCGGTGAGCGACAATCTTATAGCCCAAGTGCCCACCCGGCTGCAAGCGCATCTTTAACTCCCACCCCACCTCTTTAGTCTTGCATTTAGATGATTCCAAAGAACTCATAAACATGGTTATGAAAGGTTTAACAATGAACCCTTCAATTTTCCACAACAAATTCAGCTCTTTTGTACCATTTGGTTCTCGCAAATACCCATTATTTGCTTCTTCTTGTCGTTGCCTTTCAACTTCAGCTTCAATTTCATTGGAGAATGAATCTGTTTCACTCGGGCACTTCACCCGACCCGATTTTCCTATCCTTCATCAGGTTTATTTTGCTCACTTACCTTTTTTTTTTGCTATTTTAATTACAAGTTTGATGATTCATTTTGGGAAATTTTTCTTTTCTTTGTTTTTGTTTTTGTTTTTGTTTTTTTTTTTTTTGTTTGTTTGTGAATTGATTTCTGGGTTATTTGATTCTAGCTTTGTCATTATCAAGATGAATTTGGTAATAATGGGTTCTTCTTGTTTAGATGTTTTTGCCCGCTTTGACCATGGTTGTAATTGAGGGAAGCAATAATCTTTTCTTGTAACTTTGGAAGTGTTTAGGAAGTCACAAAGGGCAATGATATAGACGGGATTTATTGCTCGGTCTTGGGTATCATCCCAACCAATCTAGTTGACATCCACGTTACGCAATAATATTTTGGAGTATTGCTAACCTTTTTAGTAGTAGTGCTTAATTAATTATTTAGTTAGGATATTTCTGGAACGTTTTAATAGCTTTGTTTGGTATGACTTTGTAATTTTCAAACTTTGAAGCTAACTTATTCAGGGAAAAAGAAAAAAAACTAGAATTTTATTTATTTATTTTGGTAAACACTTTGCCATTTGCAACATCCAATATAACATGTTGAATTAGTGCTTGATTTGTTGCTCTGAACTAGTGTTATGCTGTTTCAATTTTTGAAGTGAAATAGGACAAGATTTTGAAGCGAAATGTGACAATTATTTAGGGACATAAGGACTGAGGGAGTATGGTGCATTTATCTATTTGGGTTAAGGTTTACATGGTAATTGATTGAGGAGGTGTAAAACCATAAAAATTCAAACATGCAATACATAATTAAAGAGGTAGGAAAAAATATACGGGAACAATTATTTCATTGATAATTTGTGGGTTACAACTCTCGTAGATCTCTTGATTCCTCTCTCCAAAGGGGTTTAGGTTTGATATTTGTTTATAGTACGGGGCCTTGTCGGCTTATTCTATACTATGGACCTACAATGTTTGGTAGTAGGGAGGAGATGAGGTCTTTGTGACTTATTCCATCTGAGCCTCCTGTAAACCCTATAAACGACCTTCTTTATATAGAGTGTCGTAGAGTAAAAGATAATAATCTATGAGATTCTGAAGATAAATATCTTATAATTTTTTATATTATCTCCTTATTTACATATATAATTAACAAAATTTCGGTGTCAACAGGAGGATATGTAGTTCAACCAACAAACAATCCTAGACTAGCAAGCTGGTGCTAATATCTGACATTAATACACGCGTTTGATTTATTGGCACTTGTTTGGTGATGTTAGCTTTCACATCTTGATCTCAAAGTGATATTTTGGGCTGATTCTTGTTGATTTAATGGGATTTACCATTTATACATCATGTCATAGTAAGACTGTGATGCTTTTGGATCTTATCAGCTATGATTGCAAACTCTGTAATCTAAGAGTAGTACTTTATGCCACAGGAAGTATATGGTCACAAACTTGTCTATTTGGACAATGGTGCAACTTCTCAGAAGCCGTCTGCTGTAATAGAGGCTTTAAAAAACTACTATGAAGCTTACAATGCAAACGTGCACAGAGGAATACACTTCTTGAGGTTTTGTAACTTAAGTCGATTGAATTGTCATTTATGTTTCTTGTTCTGATAAAACTTTTGTAAATTAAATTCAGTGCCAAAGCAACTGATGAATATGAGTTAGCTAGGAGAAAGGTGGCCACGTTCATCAATGCCAAAGAGTCTGGTGAAATTGTATTTACAAGGAATGCTACTGAAGCAATTAATTTAGTGGCTAATTCTTGGGGCCTCTCAAATTTGGAATCAGGAGACGAGGTTTGTACTTCTTAAACCACGAGTAGTTTTCTTTTCTGTATTATTTCATGCTCCTTAAATGTCAGAATCGTCATTATGGGAATATGCTTTAATAAATGACTGCTGAATTATGACTACAATGGAAAAACTGCTTCCTGCTACCCCTTTACTTGAGATCGATGTAAAGAAAAACGATAAGAGCCAAGTGTTAATTATAGAGTGAAAAGACAAACAATTCATTACAGGTGACAAATGCTTGTGCATACTTAAGTTTGGTACTGCACTGTCTTGTGCAAAAATATCATATACTAGCAAAGCTAGAATACACCATGTTTAAATTAATGACATATACTAGTTGGCTGGAATTTATTGTTTGTCCAATAAACTACATAGTCTGGCTGAACAATACCTTAGCTGGAGCCTGGAACACCTGAACCGCATTTGGTAAAAGTATATATGGCTCGCTTGAAGTAGGCCAAGCTTGGGAAAGAGCATTTCCTTATGCAGAAGCCCAATTTTTCAAATAAAGTTGAAAATTGGAGCTTTTACTACTGAATAAGCTTCTTGTCTTCTTGATATTGGGGTGTGACAGGAATAATTTGCTTCTTAAATATGTTCAAAACTTAATTGGATAAGTTGGCCTCTTGAAACTTTATCTTATAGAATTAATTGTAGGTATGAAGATATTGCATCAAACAAACAGAAAACTACTGAATTCTGTTCTGGTGCAAGAGGAATCTTTGATTATCATTGCCAATATTATCGAATATTAAAGATGTGTTATAGAGCTAATTGAAATTCTTGCTACTAAAATTCGTGGTCAAGTCCTCAAGATTACAAATTCTATGCCAATTGACATCTTTATGCTTCATAGAGATTGTCCTTTTTGGTTCATATTTTTTAATTTACATATCTGTAATTATTGCCTTTAACTCTCAGCATTTAGCTAGTTTAAGTAACTGCAAAATTGAAAAAGCTGTTTCCTTTTGCCCACTGGAAAATTCTTCCCAAGTATGTTACCTGCTAAATTGTTGCTTGACATTGAATGCATGCAGATCATCCTCACTGTTGCTGAACACCATAGTGCTATTGTCCCCTGGCAACTGGTGGCTCAGAAAACTGGTGCCCAATTGAAATTTGTCAGTTTGACCAAAGATGAAGTTCCTGATACCGGTGCATTGCTGGATATGCTATCAAGAAAGACAAAATTGGTTGTTGTTCATCATGTCTCTAATGTACTTGGTAGGGCTGATTTTTGGGTTGATGGTTTTTAATCGAGTTGTGTTTCTTGAAATTGAGTGTGCTGTCACGAAAAATGTTATCTTGTGAAGTGTTTCACAAGTGATGCTTTTGAAATATGCTATGAGAATTTTGTTTGTTGTTCTGAACTTTCTTTCCCAGACACTTCCTGAAATCTCATCTCTTAGATGATTCTTTGTGTAGCCTCTACTCTACCAATTCACGATATAGTGCACTCGGCTCATGCTGTTGGGGCAAAAGTTTTGGTTGATGCTTGTCAGAGTGTCCCACACATGGCAGTTGATGTACAGAGCCTTGGTGCTGATTTTCTTGTTGCTTCGTCTCATAAGGTTAGGTTCTTCCTTTAATTATTCTTGAACAAATAGTATGAGCTGGTGTTCGAAGTCAAGGAATGAACAATGCTTCAGATGTGTGGTCCTACAGGAGTGGGATTCCTATATGGCAAAGAGGAGCTTCTATATTCAATGCCTCCTTTCTTAGGTAAAATTTGTTCCTTTTTTGACAAAGTAGTTCTATCTTGTCTGCACTAGCTTTTCATAGAGACGGGTTTATAATGCAAGAAAAGGCTAAGGTTTGCTACTGCAAGTTGGGACTGGTTAGAAAGCAGATGCGTGTTTAACTAGTAGTACATGCATGATTTAGCCACATAACATCATACCAGTAATTTATTTTCATTTCCATGTATCTTCTTTCAGGTGGCGGGGAAATGATTTCTGACGTGTACTTGGATCACTCCACGTATGCAAATCCTCCATCCAGGTTGGTACTTGGTAGGCATCAATTTGAATGTCTGATAAGTTTTTGTTCATGTAAGATCTTGATTTAGATTCCATTCTGTTGGATCAGATTTGAGGCTGGAACACCAGCTATTGGTGAGGCCATTGGATTAGGAGCAGCTATAGATTATCTATCTGGAATCGGAATGCAAAAGATCCACAACTATGAGGTAGATTGTCTTGCACCTGATCTCTTCCTGTCTCTCATAGATTTCTAACATTGAACTCCAATCTCAATGTTCAAGTAGCTTCAATTTTTGAAAATTCAATCTTCAATATTGGTAATTATATAGAGCAGTATTGCTTTTATTTAGTCTGAATTATCCTATACTATATCATTTCTTCACATAATTGTGGGTACTGTTATGAACTTCCTCTAGGCAGAATTAGCTGATTATTTATACGAAAGGCTATCTTCAGTCCCTAAGATTCGGATTTATGGACCGGTGCCTTCACAAAATGTTGGTCGAGCTCCTCTTTGCTCATTCAATGTAGAAAATATTCATCCAACAGACATTGCCACGTTTCTTGATCAACAGGTATGATATGAATGTTATGCTACTATCTACCGTCAAGTTTATTCTCTAAATAGCAATTTTTGTATATAAATTGCGCTGTAATAGTTCACAGCTAACCGTGTATACTCTTGAATCAGCATGGAGTGGCAATCAGATCAGGCCACCATTGTGCACAACCTCTGCATAGACATTTGGGAATGAATGCGAGTGCACGGGCTAGTCTCTACTTTTACAACACCAAGGACGAAGTTGATCACTTTGTTCAGGCGCTAAATGATACAATCTCTTTCTTTACTTCATTCATGTAGATTTTACATTTTAATTTTCACTTCCCTCATCCCCTGTAAGGCTGTAATAATATTGTATGAGATACAAATTATTTGATTAGTCAGCCAAAAATAAAGGCTTGTTTAAATGCAGTTAATTGTAAGATAGTTGATAAATTATTATTCTATTAATGAAAGTAATTTAATAAAAACTTTCAATTGCATCCTTATTAATCTTCCTTGACCATTATTATATGTAAGTAGGATCCAAAATGCCCCTCCTCAGTTTAATTCAACTCAGACGAAATACAATTATAGTTCGATCAGTTCATAGAGCAGAGATATATGCCTACTATAACATCCTCATTTCATTGTACTACTTATATTATGGAGTAAAAGATAGAATCCGAATCATGTACATCAATAACGAAGAATAAGAATCGTTTTAAACAATCGAGTTTATGAATAAACATCGAACAAAACTGCACCATTACTGATTCATGCAGGACACAGTTCAGAGGTACAGTTGCAAATTAACAGCAGAGAAATCCACCTCCCCTTATATATTTGAAGATCGAAGCTCCGAATCAGTAGCATTCTTCGGGATGGAGCTTTTATCCATTTGCCTGCTCACAGAAAGCCATTATTAACATTCTATTCAGCAAATTAAAAGAAAGATTAAGGCATGACATACCAAACCAAATGACGCCGTTTAACAGACAATAAGGAATTCACAATTTAATAGAAATGTGCATACTTTATGCCTTGACAACAAACTGAAGAATGAAGAATACTAGTCATATACCTACCTGGTTTCGCGATAAAAATAGAAAAAATATGATTCCGATCATGATGTCTTTGATAAATCACCCCAACTATCTAACAATGAAGAATGATTATTCGCGTCCATTAAGAAGCTATTTGTGGAAGCAATTTCGTTAAAAGGATTGATAATCGAAGGGCTATTATCAAAGAACTCGTCGTGAACTTGCATCTTATTATCTGACTCGAAAAAATTTGTATGCAACGAACCAAAATCTCCATAAGGTACAAGTTGTTGCGGTTGTTGCTGTTGTTGATGAAGATGATAATTTACTTGAGGTAATTTATTGCTTCCCATAAAATTCCTGCCATATGGCATCATTCGAGGTTGTTGCATAATCACTTGACTAGGCCTAACTTGCAACGGTTGAGGTTGTCCAACATGATTATTATTATTATTATTAATCATTGGAAAATTATTCATTTGCGAGTAGTTTATTTGTGGTGCAACCCTTGCTCTATCAGATGCATTCGCGACAGGAAGATGGTGTTGGCGATTTGCAATAGAACTCGAGTACTGATGATTATTAGAAGAAACATGAGTTGGAACCATGAATGAATGACCATCGACACCTTTGTTGTTGTTGTTGTTCTTCTTCTTGGGCTTAGAAAGAGCTTTTCGATACTTTTGAAGATGACTAGCAACTTGTTCTCGAGTAAGATTATTATGCCTTTCACTCAACACCTCTAGAATCTTCTTAGGTACCGCCTTATCAACCCCTCCAAGACTCTCAACCACGCCCACGAAATCGAGGTGGAGCTCATCATTCCATCGAACCCTACTCCCGGCTAATTTTTTGCCTTCCTTAACATTAGTCTTAGTCTTGTTACTTTGATTCTCGTTCTCATTATTATCAAACTTGTTACCTCTAGTACACTTTTCGAGATTGTATCGAAACACATGTTGCCAAATAACTTCAACATCCGATAAACTAATAGGCTTAAGGAAGTAGTTGCAAGCACCATATGTAACACCTTTCTTGACTATCGCTTCATCATCATACCCTGACATCATTATCACCGGAATGTCGTGTTTGACACCGGTTTCGAGTAGCTTAAATCCATCAATCTCCTCCATTCGAACATCCGTTAACACTAAATCGAATTTTTCTTCATTTTTTTCCAATAGATTTAGTGCTTCAATTGGATTATTCTTCGAAGTTACTGCCCAATAACATTATATTAGTATAACAATACAATTCAACAATTAATTTGCATTGAAAAAAAAACCATCAATTGATCAATTATTAATTAAGCATCATCACATACGTAAACACACGTACATAAAAATTAATTATCATCACATAAATTAAAATCACACGGCATTGATTAATTAAACTACAGATCTACAAAAAATTAATAACATTACTATTTAATTTTTGAATATTTACCAAAAATTGATAAACCCTAATCACAAAAGAACGCACAAGAAAACAAACAAAACCCTAATCAGAAAATTATTAAAAAAAAAAAACACTTTATGAATAAATTCTATTGATATACTCACTTCGTCACTATACTAGACCTTTTTTGTTGCTCTTAAAGATTCCGAATTGAAAGAACAAATAGAGACGAAAGAAGTACGTAATACCATACACACGAGAAATAAAGATAGGAAATTTATGTACAAACCTTGATATTGGCAACGACTAAGCAATTTGGTGATGGTCGTAAGACAAGTAATATCATCATCAACGACCAAAACTTTCAATCCTTTTGAATTCGAAACAGTAGGACTAACAACTGAATTATTAGCCAGATTGTTGTTTTCTATTACGACTTTTTCGACGATTTCTTCGTTCGACATGTTCACTGGAAAATCTGGCGTAGGAATAACGAGTAAAGGGTTGTTATCTTTTTCGACGCCTTCGTTAGACATTTTACACAATAAAATTTAGCATAAGAGTAATAATGTGAGTAAAGGGGAGTAAACTGAGGGTTTAAAAGGGTTTATATGTTTTTTTTTTTTTTTTTTTTTTTTTTTTTTTTTTTTTGAAAGAGAGGAAAAATAAAAAGGGGAAAAAAAATTAATGAAGAGTTGTATTATGGGAAGTTTGGAACTATAGTTGAAATTATGGGACTAAATTTGGAAATTAATGATACTGAGGGTATTAAATTCGGCAAGGTTAGATTAAGGGTTATTAAATTACGTTCCTCGATTTTTTTCCTTGTGAGATGTAGTTTTCCATTTTTGAGACATGTGTTGACTCTTTCCTTAACGTGGTTTCGTTATGGTACAGTGTTATTTAACCGTGATAATAGCTCATTTGATTATTGACTAATAAAATTTAAAAAAAAAAAAAACTTATTGACTATTAAATAAGCTAATCTAAGGTATTTTTTATTTTTTTTTTGAAACGAAAGGTATTTATTGACTACTCTGTATTAAATAAGCTGATAAAATAAGTTAGTCAAATCAGTTAATATAATCAATTAGTCAAAATCAGCTAACACAATCAACTTTTAGCTATCACCTAACACCGCCAATAATAATAATTATTATAATTATAATGTTTAACCGATTTTTTGTGAGAATCAGCCTAATAAAAAAATTTATTGCAAAAAATTAAACACCGCATAATAAAATAGTTTCGGCTAGTGTGGATTTTGGATTTGATTTTTCACGTAAGGTGATCAATGGTGGAGCTGAGGCTCAATTCATGTGCTTCAATAGAGCTAGGAATGTGAGAAAAAAGAGAGTTTTGGACGAGAGAGAGAGAGGATGGAAATTTTGCCTATGTTAATTGTTCAAGTGACAAACAAGCTATGCCGCGCCAATTGGTGATATCCACATCCTCTTGATTAGTTTATACAACTAGGTTGTAACATTGCAAGTAAGTTTGCTCATTCAAGTAAAATGGACAAGAATACATGAGGTTGTGCTAATTTAATGATTTGCAAAAAAATTCACAAAACCTATAAAACAAATCAGATATCTATGACATAGGTAGAAGAATGATTTACTGTAATATATGAAGCAAAACCTAAGCACAATTTGTGGATTATGGAGCAAAATTGATATTAGCTGGTATTCAGTTTTCTATTAATACAACAAAATTTAACCAAGCACCCTCGCATTTGCCACTGCAACAGCCTAGTATCTTAATTTTCTAAGACAAGTGCACAAAACAAAACTCGGGCAGAGACAGTTATCTATTTCTTTGCCAAAGACTCCCCTTTGATTTCGCTGCCTGCAGTGACCACATAACCTGCTCCAACCTAGACAAGTTCAGCAAATTTAGAGTTAATAATTGAGAAACTGGTATAGTATGGGAAGTTCAAAGCTTAATGTGAAAAGAATATAAAGTATGATACGAGTAGATGATAAGGGATACAAAAATGAGAAGACAAAAGCCCTTACTTGGCAGTCTTTCAAAACCGCACGCTCTTGTAGTTGTACATTACTGCAAATAACAGAGCTTTGGATCGAACAGCCATCACTGATAGTAATATGGTTCAAAACCACTGAATTCACGATCTGCAAGGATTGTGATGATTGAAATATATGTAAAACATCATACTGTTCCAACTTTAACTCAAAAATATGGACGCATAAAGAATTCTTACAAGACACTTCCCCCTTAAGGCCTTGTGGGATGTAGTCATCTTATGTGATACACAGCTAACTAATAACGGTATGAGAAAATAAACAAGCATACCTTAACGTTTGAACCTATCCGACAATGACGACCGATGACAGACCGTTTAACACTACATTTATCACCCATTTGTGAACCTTCACCAATTATACAATACGGTCCCACCTGATTTCACAAAACAATATTATAAGCGTACAGGCAAATGACAATTATATATAAAGAATAGAAAAGAGAACAAAAACGATCATTCTCACTGTAGTCTTTGATCCAATCTCAGCAGAAGGATGAATGCTATTGTGCTGAGGAGAAAATGTGTACCCTGATAGATGGCTAGCCTCTCCAATGACCTGAAATTATCAAAGAAGTCAAGACCATTGAACAGAAGGTAAGTAACACGAAATAAATAAATTATACAAGCATTGAATGGAAAATTTTGGTGCTGTGTAGATAGAGTCTCACATCGCGATTGATGTCACTGTAAGCTTGAATGGAATTCAAGCGTGCACAATACTTGTCATTGCTGGCAATGTAAACACAGCATTTGTGTGTTTTTCTAGCAGTGCGAGCAAAACCATTAGGGCCCAAAGCAAACAGTTCATGGAAACTTGGGGTAGAAGCATTAGCTAAAAGTTGGGAGAGCATAACTTGGTTTTTATTTGATGGGAGCATCCCATTCCCATTTTCTTCGGCTTGTAGAGTCACATTTGCCAAAACATCTGATCGCTACCATGTATCATCAAACATCCATGTGTTAGGACAACTGGACAAACAATATAGCATGCGTCTCATGGCAAATACCACACTCACCAGTTGTGTCCGGACAAGATAAGGCAGCACATCCTGCTTTAGGCTTCTAAATTTCTCTTTCTGGTCAAGATCCTTATCAAGAACTTCTTGAAGAACAGATCTTCAACAATAGCAAGGCAAAGATGATGGATGAACAGTCATTTAAAGGAATGTAATACAGCCTATTTAAACCTCCCCCCTCCCTCCTCTCTCTCCTGTACAAAAGGAAAAGGGATGAAAAATGCAAACCTTTTGAAAGCATATAAATGGGCGTCCATAAGATCAGTTCGGATCTCCATCTATTAAGATTGGAAGAAAGAAGAGAAAGATATTAGACAGAATCAATTCAATCAAATGTATATACCAGAAAATATTTACTGTTTTTCTACTTTCAGGAAGGCAACAAGTTCTGAGGGTTCCTTGGCCAACATATTTAGAGAAAATAACCAACAGTTTCACAGGGAAAGAATACCTGTCCAGCTGCACGTAGTATGCTCTTCTGAACTCGCATATCTTTATTGACCTCAGTGCCTGAAAAAAACCACCCAGGACTAATGAACCAATATAAAAGCAAAATCTAACTAATATATAAGTGATCCAAGCAAGTAGACATCCAAAAGTCAAACCTGCAGCTATGTGCAGTAAAAATTGTTTTGTGACATCCAACCCTATAATATTGCGACGTGCTGGTTTCTTTGCTTTATCCTTTCCACTGGACGATACAGATTCTGTAGATCCACTAACAGGGGTTGAGCAAAGCATTGCAGTCACAACCGCATCATGTCGTCTATGAGCAGCAGCCACAGCTCCCGGAGGAACATCACAAACAAGGTCCCCACTTACCACCTTCAGAAATTAAAAAGTGAACAAAAGATTAACAACATTAAACAAAAACATTTTTATGAGGGAAATAATATCATACTAACAGAAAAACCTTATACAATATAACAATAGGGTATAGGTCATTTCAACAGAAAACTAATGTAGATCTCAGCACTGCAGCTAAAGACTGTCACAAGACTAATGCTTACCAAAATGTCACTGGCAGTCAAGTAGCGTGAAATAGCACGAAGAGCTCCAGCAGTTCCTTTATCCTCGGGAACTGCAACAACCTGAATAAGATCAAAATATCACATAATCTACTCGTTGAAAATTTGAAACAAACCACGCTAAGGTTTTCTTTTTCTTTTTCATTTTTTTTTTTTTTTTGGGGTGTGGGGGGGGGGGAGGGGGGGGGGGAGAACGGGCATTAAGGTGATCTACTTACGAATGCTAAATACCTTCTGTAAGCTGGAAAACTCAATGATGTCATTTACCAAAAATTTCTTCCATACAAAAGAAAAAGGAAGAAAAAAGAAGGGGAAAAGGAAAAGAAGAATAGAAAGACCATTTATCAAACAATATAGATGACTCTCTTCCAACTGATTAAAAAGAAAGAAACTGCCAAACTGCACTTATGATCGGAGCCACTAAAAAAGGCTTGGAGATACACATTTGTTACACCTCCCTCTAATACACACAACCCTCAGCCATAGTTACACCCCACCCCCCCACCCCAAAAAAAAAAAAAAAAAACAAAAAAAACACACACACTAGGAAAATCAATATTCCATCGAAGAGAAGCTACCAGCCTCCCATGTACGATATTTGCCATGATTCCTTACCAATATATAAAAAGTGCAAGGCTGCACAAAGGCGATATGCATCTGGATTCTAAGCGGCATTGGGGAGCAGAAGCTAAGGTTAGACAACGGTGAAGGTGGCGGCAGCTTAGGTAGAGAAAAAAGGCCGGATGGTGGTGGCCTGGTGGGCCTTGGTTGCTGGTTCAGTTCATTGAACAAGGAGAAGGGTAGGTGGGATAAACTATAAAAGTGGGATAAGGCCTTTGCTTTTCTATTTCACTCCTCCTTAATATGTGCGCCAAAAGGAAGTCTGTCATCTAATAAGAAATGGAAGAAGTAGATACTTGTATATATTTTTTCTATCTACCAATTTGTTTTTATATTTTCCCCATAGAAAACCAGATCTGCAGCTCAAAGAAAATGAAAAATCAGGCAAAGGCTATATTATGAGATGTTTGAGTATCGAAGCAAGCAGTTTAATTGTCTGCAAAGATTTAAAGGAAGTCAGTATGTCAATGTTGCCACTTGCCAATGTTTACCCAAATATGCCATCTGTGTGAAAAATGACAAAGGGTTTCATAAACGGATATACCTATACCAAGATATCTAAAATGAACATCATCATCATCATTAACTGCATACAGCATTCAATCAAGATGTCTCAATGGCTCACATGCATCACATACGATTATACTTATCATTTACATTGCCAACAAGTTCACTCTAAGATTTGATTGTCCTTTACCTAAGAAGTGGCACCACAAAATCTAGACAGCAAGAGAATCAAGATTATCCACCAATCACGTCCAAGAGCCTAAAAATGATGAATTTGACCTCCAGTATCAGCAAAATGTCAAGCTTTCACCTCTAAATACACTACTAGAGTTGCAATTCTCTTCTTATCCCTTCATCCCACCCGTAACTTCCAAGAAAACAAAAAAGGAGGTCAAACCCTGAAAGTTCCACACTCTAAAAAAGGGAGAAGATAGAAGCTATTTTTAAAATTTTGAAATCCTTATTAATGCTTGGATATTAAGAACTAGATAAAGCCATAGAGGGGACCGTATCTCACAGAATCCAAGCTAATAATTCCCTGATTCGCCTTCAAGGCTTCAACTCCTGCTAACCCAATGAATCCACACAGATAAAGTTGTCTGTTGTAGTAGCATTATAATCATATATCAGATTAATCACTGTATCAGACTGCTACTCCATTATTCTCATAACCTCAAACATAAAATGAGAAGAAATTGATGCTGCTCAGAATGTTCCCCGCATCTTAACGACCTCTGTTCAATTTAGACTTTAAAGAATGGAGATTTGACCTTGTATTATAATCAAGGAGATATGAACTTGTAGCTCCAATATACATTGCAAATTTAGAATTCCTTAATGTCAGCCAAAACAGAGCTGTGTAAAAAAAACAAATGACCCTTTTATTCCATTTCTTCAATGACTAGGTAACCAATAATCCAAATTTCAAACCCATAAACCAAATGCTCTACACTCCTCTTAGCCTCCATACCTACATCACTACAGAGATTCTAGAATCATGTTCGACATCAGAACCAGGGCAAGTATGTCAAAAGGCACCTTGTTATTACTCTCATTGATCTTATAAGATCAAGTGATCCATGAATTCAATACCCTCATGGAACATTCATGACATTTACAAGCATCCACAAAGAACTGAATTCTCAATTACCTAAAACAAATAATTTTAAACCCTAAATTGAAAATTCAAAACCTCACTAAACTGAAAATCATCACAGAACTATAAAGCTACTTCATTCATTCACATAAAGCTTCCACTAATACACCAGAAGGTAACTTCTGGTAACACTACAAACTGTCTAAAGTAGCATAATCACAAGAAACCATGAACAAAACCCAGAAATCATTACACGAGTGAAATGCATGATTTGGAATTAACCTCGACACGAAGACGATCAACATAAGCACTCGAAATCCATCCACCAACTTTAACAGCAGCATCTGCACCTCCAACCACCTGAAATATACAAAACCGCCCCATCATTACAATCAAATTAAAGACAAAACACAAAAACAAACATTTTGCAAACCCCAATTTCGCCAATTTCCCCAATTAATTTTGAAAACAAACAAACAATCAATCAATTAAAATTATAAAAACAAACCACAATAATATCCTTGAGATTGCTTTGTTCCAAAAGGTCCAATACATAAGACACTACTGGACGATTCCCAACTGGAAGCAATGCTTTGGGTACCTCCTGAAATTGAATTTACAGATAAAAATTGTTAAATTAATCAAATTAAAAGCCAAAAAATGGGATTAGAAGAAAAGGGGTTAATTGAAAAAACCTTGGAAACAAGAGGGGCAAGGTTTTTGGAAGTGCCACCAGCTAGCACAACCACCTGGAAATCCATGGTTGTTGTTGTTCTGAGGTTTCTTCAAAAATGGAGGAGAATTTATGAGAGAGATGAACAAGGGTTTTTAAGGGTTTTTCGAATTTTCAATTGAAAGTTTCGATTTTTATCGAAGATGATGATGCGAATGTTGATTAATGAATTCACGATCCCACCCCGAAAGTTTGGTGTTCAGATTGTGCGACTTTGATTTGTAATTGTAAGGTTTGATTAAAAAATTTGTCGAGTTAAATAAGGTTATTCATCTTTAGTACTCTAAAATTGGTTCCTTGCTACTTATATTGAGGGTAATTTGAGATAAATTGTCAAAAATTGCGTTAAAAAAGACAATTAATTTCAATATAATAGTATGTATTAGAAGTTAGAACCAATATTTAGGTCAGGCGATGCCTCGGGTCATTAAATTTGTTACTCGTATAATATAATCAATTGCTTCATATAAATATTTTGTATTCAAATGAAATGATACAACTTGAAATATCACATGAATTGATGGTAAGACATTTAATTCTAGAATTAGATGTTGTATGTTCAAATCTTACACGTAGCGTGGTGTGGAGGGGAAAGTCACGTGCCCAAGTGGTGTAATGAGAAGTTGAGTGAGGTTGGGCTAGCACAACTTTTGTTGATTGGAACTTGGGTAGGACACTTAGTTTTAGAAATGAATGCAATTTTTGACAATATAATGGTAAAACCTAATTGCTTGTTCTCGGTCTTAAAAGTAGAAATCTATACTTAGTAATAAGTGGTTCTTTAACTCAATGTAGATATTGCTACGAAAGTACATACTACGGGTCTATTCTCTTACGTTGAAATTCAGTTCAGTTCAGTTTAGTTCAGCTCATTTCAGTTCAATTCAGTTCAGCTTCTAAATTCCTTCTCTTATAAAATATTCAGTTCAGCTCAGTTCAACTCAATTCAGTCAATGAGAACAGGCCCTACATACTTCGTAACACGAGTACATCACATTATCAATCCTTCAATAATACTCGTATATACAAATATGTTGTTTTTATTTTTATACCGAGTACAATTCTAAAGAGGACTTAATAACTTATCACGAAATGAATTACTCCATAATAATTGTTCATCATAGTGGCTAATATTCTAATAATTACTCATTATAGCGGCTAATAATTACTCATTATATTGGCATTTCGTCCATTTGGATATACCTTTTTGCAATAATGCAAAGGCTGTTTTAGTATATCAAACAAACTTTAATTACAATAGTTCATTTAGTTGTACTAAGCACTTTTATCATAAACATAGCTTACATAAAATAACATTCAGTAAGCTATGTTTATGATAAAAAACACGTCGCTCCATAATTTTATTGTGCAAATAAGCTACGGGAAATGGAAATAACCTCTACTTAAGTTCCATTAATCAACATTAACACTTAATAAATCAACCAATGGTATGAAACGTCACACTTGATTCAATTCTTACAAGTTACAATAAACTTCCAAATTTCTCTCTATAAATGGAAAAACAATAGTAACATCATCAATTGGTTTCCAAAAATGATCAAGAATTAGTACTACACACATTTATTGTACCACATAATTTAACATAGAATTTATTAGTACTAGATTTTATAATTTAATTAACATTCAACACAAACACAAGCTGCCCTTTGAACCAATTCAGGTAAATCAGGCCCTCTACTCCACTCCTCAGTCACACAATCAAATATCAACACAATCCCTTCTTTATATCCTCTTACATTCCTCCCACTTCTCCTCAATAAATCATCTATACACCCCATCACTTGGATCAACACCACCTTATCCTCCACCCCTACACAACTAAACTTCACGGTCCCGTCGAGCCGAACTTGTGCCGGTAGCGGCGGACTCCTCATCCGACACCATTCTCCAAACCCGCCACCACCTCCCTCGCCTTTCCTCCGTCCATTAAACCGCCAAAACGACAACTCAACCGCGTGGCTCGCCAACACGTAAACACAACCATCCGCCCCGCAAGCCGCCACGACACACCCACCACCGGGAACCGCCCGGCTCCTCAACCACCCACGCGCCACCACATCATACAAATCCATCGAGCTAGCACAAACACGCGCCTCAGCCGCGCGTAATTCCGACGCGCCACCAATCATCAACCCACCAATGACGTAAAACACGCCATCCACCCCAACACCAACACACCCATATCTCCTCCTCGGCGCGTGAGCCACCACGCGCCACTCATCCGCGTGGGGATCATACTCTTCCACGTCAGACGCTCTTAACGACCCTCCTGCCACGTAGATTCTCCCACAAACTGCCGCAGCAGCAAACCGTTTTCGCGGTACCAACGGTCCAGACCGGGTCTTCACGAGCCCGGTCCACGGATCAAAAACTAACGCACTAGACCGATTTATAATAAAAATCTTCCTCCCAATTACAGCCAACCGCGCGTGTGAGAAATCCGTGTGAAAATGAACACTACCACCACCCAAAACGGCGTCGTTTTGAGAAGGGAGCTTCCACTTCTGATCAACAAAAGGACGAAGGGTAGAAACGGAAGAAGTAGAAAAGGCAAAAATAGTCCGATGAAGAAGACGGTGGTTCCGACGGAGGAGAGAGAAAGAGGGGGAGTGAACAAGGTGGGCCCAACGACGGCAGACGGCGGAGATAGCAGGAAGAGAAGAAAGCGGGATTCGAGATAATATTTCGTAGAGAAGATCATCAGGAAGAGAAGAAATGGAGGTTTTAATCGAATTTTTGGGGGATTTGTTGTTGTTGTTGGAAGGAGGTAAAGGGATGATAATGGAGTGAGAAGGGTTAGTGGGATTTGGGCAACAAGATTTGATGAAGAGAGAGAAATGGCGGGAGTTGTAGGTGGTTTGAGGGTCTCTCTCAACGGCCGCCATTAATGGAGGGAGGAGAGAGAAAATGGAGGTTTAGAGAAGGGGGTGGTGGTGGTGGTGGTGGGAATTGGATTCGAAGGGAGTGATTTAATTGGGTGGAAAAAGAAAAGAAGGATTAATTATAATTATTTATAGATGTGATGAAATGGATGGTTGTTTTTGTTTGTTTGTTTGTCTCGTGGATTTCTAGGACTTTTTTTTTTGTTTTGGGGAAAAATAAAAATAACATGTGAGAGAGAGAAAAAGTTGTCAATGGTGAATTTAGATCTTTGAATTTTGCAAATAAAGTGTTTGTTGTATTCGATGATTATTACTACGTAATTTGTTTTAAGAAAAATAATAATGTACGGGATATACGTAGGATTAAGCATAAAGTAATATTGACTGAATTTACAATGTACAAAGTAACATTATTTATTCCTTCAAAAAAAAAAAAAAGTAACATTATTTATTTTTACTATAGGTTGTATTAAATGAGAGTGAGTTTGCAGCGAAACTTAATTTTATCTTAATTATTTGAACTTATTTTGTATAACGTAACTTGAACATATTTAGATGTTAATAGTCTTGATACCAATAGATAGATAGATTAAAAAAAAAAAAAAAAAAAAAAAAAAAAAAAAAAAAAAAAAAAAACTCATTACTATTTGAGTATTTGGTTATTTGCTATGATTATTGTCACTTATTATTATACTTGTAACTTTTTTATGAATTTCTAAACACTTTGTAACTTTAAGTATTCTCTTTTTCCTTTATTCTATTTAAATTGGAAAAATATATAGTACTTTCTTACCATCATGTTTGTGATAGAGATCACTAACCCAAAATTTCAAAGTTAGATGAAATGTTAGTTATGGCAAGATTAGAAAAGTTTATTCTACAATTATATCTAACACTTCAATTTATATACAAGTAATTGAATTATATATAAAACATGTGATTTAACTTAACTTTTCAAGAAGTAATATTTTTTCCTCAAAGTACTACTCCCATAAGTTATTAAGATAGTGTTTAAGTGGGAGCCATCACTTAATAACTTGGATTAACATTTCTTGCATGCATGCACAAGTTAACTCAAGGCTTACAATTCCCATTCGTGGATGACAATAATATTTAATTATTAATAATATTAATTCATGTTTTTCAATCAAATAATCTATGGAATAAATTGTTTGATTAGCCACCAATCAAACACAAATTAATGATATCCCATATATATATATATATATATATATATATATATATATATATATATATATATATATATATATATATATATATATATATATATATATATATAATATATATAATTTAATTAAAAAGATCATAAAAAATTATTTTGTTAAATTATAAAATAATAAATCCGATATATTTTAATTTCTATTAGAGTATATAATAAGAAATGTTCTTGTACCAATCAAATTAATTTTGATCCTTTTAATTAAATTAAAGGTTTAATCCTACTTTATTTAAGGGCTTGGCCAATAGGAGTGCGAAGCTTGAATATTTAAATGAGTGATAGATTTTGTTGACAAATCAGCCAAAATTATTAACATGGATCACATGCATTCATCAAATACATGCATGCATGTCTGCTGGGATTTTTTCAAGCTATGATTCAATAATCTACGGATTATTAAGGAATCTAATACAAAGTATAAAGTAATCCCTCAAATCAGAATTGACGAATTGTAGTAGTACTCCGTATAAACGAGTGTTGGCCAAGTCGTCAAACAATAACTACCTCCTTTAAATATTATCTACAAGTTTAGAGTATTATTTGTGAGATTTAAAATATTCTAAAGTGCATGTAACATTAACGGAGGTAGGATGTGTTGTTTAAAGCTAAATATGACAATCGTTTGGTAGTCAAAGATTAAACTTATGAATGGGCCGAAAGAAGCCAGTGATATCAATAATTGTGAATCCACTTTGCGTAAAAAAGCAGCATAAGATTGGAAAAAAGTGCCTTCTTTTTAGAATTTTTTTTTTTTAAGAAAAAAATCATATAACTAATATATAAAGCTAAACTTTTAGTCAGGTCACGAGGCAGCGACACTTGGCATCCTAACTTTTCGCCAAGTGTCACGTCACGTTGGATAGATTTAAATAGACTTAATAAGATAAAAATTAGTGTCGCGCCACCTTTGATAGATTTAGATAGATTTTATAAGATAAAAACATTAGTTAAAAATTCCATTTTCAATCAAATTAGGATAAAATTTTAGAATAAGTTTGTTGTTTAGAATTTTATATCCGATAAAATACCAAATAATAAACTTATAATTAGGCCACAAGACAACATCATCATTTAGTGTTTTAACTTTTCGCCAAGTGTCGTACCACGTTGGATAAATAATTTTATTAGAATTCTATTTTCAATCAAATTGAATTATAAAATAATTTTATCTTAAAAATACATAAACAACCCGGGCATCGCACGGGGCACAAAACTAGTAATTAAATAAATTAAAATTTATCAAATTAAATATATACTCTCTTTGCCCACATCACATACTCTCTTTGTCCTTTTTTTTTCTTTTTTTTTCGCCCTATTTAATTTTTCACGATCATTAACATGCGATTTAGAACATATAAATCTCTATTTTCATGCGCGTACTAATTATATAAAAACTCAATTCTAATAGAATATATAATGAAATTAATCCAACAAGATTGACAATGGGGCAATTATTGTCTTTTACAAATTAATGACAATTACGGTCAAAGTTTACAAGTTTGACAAAAAAATCATATTAAATGTTCCAAAAGTTAAATCACCATTTAAAGAAATAATAATTGACTCACCCATAATTAAATCATGCCCCTCTTAATTAACTATAAAATTATGGACATGGACATCAAAATAATCAAATTATTATGATCAAATGTATTATGTAAGAGGCTATACACCACTATAAGGATCTAGTTATTATATTGTGTAATTTCACGAATATTGTTCGTTCGCACCTGGATCAACATGCATAACATAATACATTTGAAGCGAGAATTCCACGTTACAATTAACTACGAATTCCCTGAGAAATAGAACCTTCAGCGTTACTCCTTTACTCGACACACATATTTCTATTGAACATCCACTAATACTGTATTAGTCGGGTGAGAGAGGTAAACCACCGTGATCACCAACTTCCACGGACAACCAGCCACCACACGAACCACCACATACACATGCAGTTAGACGAGAAGGACAGAGAGAAAGTTGATTTCGTATTTGTTGATTAGGGTTTGTTGAATGATCAACTTTATTTCCAATCCTAGGCACAGAAACTATCTATGTATTATAATTATATTATATTTAGACTAGGAAGCAAGCCCCAAACCCTTCAAGCTCCATATGGACAACCACTTAGGGGGAGGGCCCAATATGGGTCTTTCTTCTTATGTTCAATAAACCACATAGTAAGAACTTATAGGATCCGTTTTAATGGGTGTTTGGTAGGGATGTCAATGGGGCGGGGCGGATGTTGGCATTCCCATCCTCATCCCCACCTAACATTTTCATTCCCATCCCCATCCCCATCCCCATCCTCATTCTTATCCCCATCACCGCGGCGGGTCTAAAATTCATCCCCATCCCCGCCCCGACGGATACAATTCCAAAACCATCCCCGCCCCACCCCCACCTAATCCCCACCCAAGACCCACCCAACCTCCACCTTTCAAATACACAATCCTACATAATTAATATAAATCACTTTTTTTTAAAAAAAAAAAAAATCATTCTTAATATTACACATTTTTTTTGTTTTATATTATAAGTGTATTACGAAGTATTATAATTAATATTTTATATTTTACATAAATATTTTATAAAATAGTAAAAAAGTATAGAATTTTGTTTTAAAAGATATATAGATGAGGGTATAAGGTGGGGATGGGGCGGGTACGAAGTGGGGCGGGTACAAGCTAAAATCCAACCCCGCCTCATCACCCATGGCAGGAATGGTTTTCATCCCCATCCCCGCCCCATCACCCGCTAAACCGAGACCCATCCCCGCCCCACTTTGGGGGAGGGGGGATGGGGCGGGTCTCCTACTTGACCCGCCTCATTGACATTCCTAGTGTTTGGGCCTATTTTATTAACTCAAAGATCATTAATACCTCTAGTTATAATACAACAAAGACCTAAAAGAATAAACTTAATAATCTCCATAATTCGATCCAATACATATATTAATAATTGCACTTGATGAAGACACAATTCCTTCAAAATCACATCCAATATAACAAGATAGATCATTCATTAATGTTGATCTTAAAATAACTTCACCATTCTTTCCCGGAAAATGAGGAGAGGAAAAGCATTTTTCTTCGCTCATCCAAAACCTTTTCCTCAATGTTTGGCTATTTAGGGCATCCCACAACTAGTATTTGAAAAATATTCTTTCGTTATTGTTATGTTTGTGGTAGACACAACTAACCCTTATATATAACTTATTATATAATAATAATAATAATAATAATAATAATAATAAATAAATAAAATACTGTTTCAAAAAAAAAAAAAAAAAAAAGCAAATACAAGTTAATCTAATGGATCAACCTAAAATGTTAATCTAATGGATCAACCTAAAATGTTAATCTAATGGATCAACCTAAAATGTTAATATAATAGATCAACCCAAAATGTCAATCTAGAGGGCACTTTTGTTATTTCATCATTTATTAAGGGACACTTTTGTCCGTTTACATTGATGACATGGTAAATGTGCCATATCCAATTCGTTACAGGCGTAAACCATTTAGGAGGTTTTTTTTTCCATTAAAAACAAAAAATTCTTAGATTTTTGGTTTTTTTTTGTGAAAAAGTTAAATTTCTCTTTGCAGATCTTCGGTAGTTTTTTTTTACGGTATTTTTTAACCTTCTGTCTTATTGTTGTTTTTTATTGGTCAATTTGCAAATGACAATAATCATGGGCAAAAGCACCATCATCTTCTTCCAATTCTACCTCTTCAAATAAAAAAGTGAAATACTCTGATTTAACGTTAATACAAATAGAAAAAATGAATTCTATGTAACGATTTTTCACTAATTGATGTCGTAAACATCTTTGTACGCTTAGCATTTTTCTTCGCAATGTGTAGGTAAATTTTTTTTCACAAATCATGAATTTAATATTGAAATAGCCGAAAAGGTTAAAACATTAGAGGTAGAGGCAAAATATGATCGAGAACTTTTCTAAAAAAAATATGATAAAGAAGAGAAATTGTGGGTTGTATTTGGTTTAAAACCTATTATTGATGCTTTTTATGGTTTTGATTTAGAATACAATATGATAGCTTTTTACACGTGTTTAGTATTTGTTGTACATTTTTTAAAGGTTTGTTGCATCAAGTTAGTGTGATCTCAATATAAGTATATATATATACACTAAAACAGACACCGGGAATGACACATGTCACTTCTTAG